ACACAAATCAAATGAACATTTTGCCAAATAAAACAAAAAAACTTTGCCATCATAGCCAGCGGTCCTTCACACGACTATGCTGAGAGAGGTCTGCTGCAGACGGGCTGCGGTTAGCCCTGGCTGCAGTTAGCTTCAGAAGTCCGCTGGTTGCAGCGGTCCTCTCAACTTCGGAATTTAATTACGCATTAAATCGGTAAATGGTCCAAATAGTGACGTTTTAGAGTATAATATTCTCGCCTCAAATGATCTTAAAACGTACTTTTATTGAACAACAGCAGCAGAAAAAAACTTTTAAATTTCAATGGAGAGCTCCGTTGAAAGCTGCTGCTGTCGCAGTGCATGCTGGGACAGCTGTCTGTCTGGAGAATGGACAAGTCTGCTCTGATGCATGCTCGTAAATAGGGAGGGGCGAGAACAACATCCGGGGACTTTGTCTATTCTCGATCTTGTCACGACCCGATCCGTCCCGGAAGCACCATCCGTTCTGCGCATGCGGGAACAGATATACATCCGGGTATCCATAAATAATGTAATTATGGTACTAAAACTACATATTTCTATCCTTAACCCACTAAAGAATAGAGATACACATCTGTAAAAAAAAATTTTAGGACTTTTGTGAGACAATGTGTATGCTTTTTACATTTTCCTCGTTGAACTGCTTCTCTGACGTCATCATCAGACATGCTCAGAGCAGTCCAGCGAAATATGATGAAACCATGTTTATCTCCATTTTAATTGTTTCTTATTTTAGATTACACACTATATAACATAAGATTATAAACGAATCAAAAACATAAAACTCAAAAACATTGGATGTATGTTTAAATCCAAAGCTGAAAAAGTTAGCTCCCAGAAGTCTTCAATCTGAAGCTTTAGATGGGAACATTAGTATTTGTTTATTCATCTAGTAAAAGCAAAAGGTGCCCTAATTTTTTTTCCATATTTCAGGATTTTTGGAAGTTTGTTCCAGAGCTGGATCAGATTCTTTGGAAAAGGTTCTTGGAATAATGAGTCAGTGGGTCTCTGAGGACCTAAGGGGTCTACATGATTCATATTCGACAAGCAACTCTGAAATGCATAGGAGTAAACAAGCAGCTCTTTTTTTTGTTCCTTTCATCTGAGATATAGTCAAATCAAATAAGAATGATAAAGTGGAAATTTAAAGACGATATCACAATAAATGGGGGGGAATATTTCTGTGTGTCAGGTTACTGCATAAAACAGGTCAATGACATAATTTATGTTAAATAATCTGTGGCTTATGGGATTAAATAGGGTCAAAAAATACATTAAGGGGGCTTTTAAGAAAAAAAAAAGCAATAAAGCTGACAAAACTATCATTCAAAACATTTATCAAAGAAAATTTGAGCTTATTACATAAAAAATAGGACACTTGTTATGACCCCATATGATTAAATATGTATTTATAAAAAAAAGTAATAAAAGCATCTATATTTAGCTAAATTTCAATTTATTGTTTCTTAGTTTTGCAGCAAAAAATGCAGGATTATGGTGGATTAAATCATTTATGTGGTGCAATGAAATGCAGAAACCCTGAAATCTCATAAATACTGTTTATTTATATATTTCATTGGGGCCATTATGGCACCCCATAAAAAATACATTTTGAAAGAATGTGTGGTTCAACAATATGCACATGTTGAGAAAACTGTTGGTTTCTTTAGTTTAATCAAAAAAACAAAAAACAAAATGGTCACAGAAATAGCTTGAATCTGACTAAAGTAATAAGAAATAAAACAATCTATAAAGATAGGCATATAAAAGTCAAGCTTTGATTCTCAGTCATTCTTTAACAGAAGCACATCTAAAACAGTGTGTTAGATTTAAAAATAAATAAAATGAAACTGCAATAGGAAACAACAACCTGTAAAGGTGAATTTATGAATTATGAGATCGACCCTAATAATTTATTAGTTTGTTTTCTGTGAACTATTTAAATCATTTTTACATTTGAAGGTCTGATAGTCTAAACAATCACATTAATGAGCGATAAAGTGTTTAATTGAGGGATAAAAAACAGGCATTGTAGGCATCGCCTGTTTCTTCCAGCCATCGCCAAGGGGCGACATATTCCCCACAATCTGTCCCTTCTCCTCCGGCGTTGTCCTGAACTCGTCCCGGCGTCAGCAACGTCACCAACCGGACCAGTGATAAAGCTCGAGGAAAACTGTAACGTCTAACCGGAATTGAGCAGGTGTCCTTTCAAAACAAAAGCTCCTAAGGGACTACAAAGAAGGAAAAAGAATAAAAGTGAAAATGATGCCATGAAGTAAAATAGTGACAAGTTAATATAAATTGTTTAAAGTTTCTAATTCTTGTTTTTTTTTTTCTTCATATTTTTGTTTAAGCGCATGTTTTCATTTGGAGGTCCACTCAAATTTCCACGATGTAAGATCCCCTTTCTATACTTTTCTACAACATTCATTCATTTTATGAAAATTCAGGTTGGCCCATCTGACATCACCAAGTTCAAAAGTCACTTAAACATCCTTTCTTTCTTGCACTGTTTTAATTTTTAAATTTTCACAAGATCTAGGTGTCTATATCTGCACAGATTATGTGCCTCCTACTTGATTGTCTGATTTTGAAAATTGAACCAAAGTGTCTTATAAAAGGACAGTATGACATTAATTATGACTGTTAATGTGTTTGTGGGCTGCTTGATCCTTGTTGACCTCACATGACCCCTGAAGGTGTACAGCGGTGTATGCACCTATATGTTAGTGACAGCTCAACTCCTGTACATGCTTCTAAATACTACAGCTATGGACTTTGCAAACACCACAAACTGCGATTCACTGCACTCTGACTAGCATTAACTTTTGCAGCAAACTTAACTATAGTTTGTCTTTTGGGGTTACAAAGACAAGATTATTTCCCAAAGGCATCACTGAACTTTGGTCACCCATTTCTTTTCTTTTTCTTTGATTTAACACAGAACCTTGGAACACAGTGTTTACTTTTAGCCTGATATATCCCGCTTGATTACAGGTGACACAATGAAGAAGTAATCATCTTTACTCAGTTTACGCGTGTTTATCATCTTATGTCCGATCTTTCTCTGCTTGCCAGCATAATGCACTGGAGATTATGGCTTTGTTTATAACTGTATTGTTTACACAAGTAATCATTGTTACAGGTGAAATAAAAGTTATTTTCTCAAAATAATGGAAAAATTATCTCTTTATCTAAGGATAAGAATAATATTTGAATCTTGTTATTTTAGGCTAGCTGAAGTCATACTATTTATACAACATGTTTTACAGATGATAATCGCCTTACATAAGTAAAATAAGAAACAGTAAGAAATCGTTCTAAGTCTAAATAATCGTGTCTTTAATTGTTCTTTTTAAAATTTGCGGAGAACAAAGACGGTGAAAGGGAGTTCCAGGGCATTTTGAGCCGTAGCCTGAAAAGTCTAATCTCCTGAAAATGACTCCCAGGAACTCCCAGCAATATCTAGTTAGATGATCAAAGTGGCAACAAGACTTGAGCTTCAATAAATATGCAATATATTTACAAGCATGAGCATGGATGGCTTTCAATGTCAAATCTAAAATCTTGAACTGGGTCCAAATGGACAGAGATCCAGTGGAATAAGGACTAATCTTTAGTTACGTGGTAGTCCAGGCTTTAAGCTGATTTCTGCAGAATATGAAAGCAAAGCAGGAATGCTTTGTTTAATTTATTTTTTGAAAAAAAAAAAGCCTAAAACATATTTTTAAGTGATAAACAACAGTTTCTAACAATATGCTTACGGTGTGTTTGAGGAGACAAGGCACTGCAAGAGAAAACACCCACATTTTTATGATACTTTACACCAGCAGATTAAAAGATACATATTAATATAATAACCAGGAATTCCACCTTTTTGCAATGAATCCTCCACCAGTTATTTCATTATTATTTTATTTTTTAATAAACATAGACTATTCTTGCAGTTTGCACAATTCAGACATTTTAAACAGGCAATACAATAAAAGTTATCTGTATACATATTACAAGATACGTAATGTAGCTTTCTTATGATTTCGAATAAGGGGTAAGGTCTGCATGGGAATCCATTAAAATAATTACAAAATGATATTGAATGTGATCTCTGTTGATACTGATTAGGTGTCTATTGTGACATTTTTCTGATATTGTTTTTTTTTTTTTTTGTTAATGTTTGAATATAATTCAATTAAGGATGTTTAAAGAGTATATAGAATTAGTAGGTAGATGCAATTTGTCGAAAACGTTAAGTTAAAACTGATATTGAAATTCAGGACGTGATCCAAACTGAATTATTTGTAAAGTTAGGTATATTATTAAAGGCAACTTCATGCAAAGTAGAACCGTTTTTTTTCCTCTAGTGGCTGAGGTGGGCAAATACCACGAGGTCTTTAAAAACCAACATTTATGTGTGTTTTCTTTTTTGTATACGTGGTTAAGAACAAAATTAACTTTATATTTCATTGGACTTTGTATCATGATTTGAAAAGTATTTGTTTTTTGACAGACGGTACAAAAAAAAAATCCTGAATTGGTTATGTTGTCTGAAGGAGAAAAATGGCTTTTGAAGAGACTCTTTAAATTAAGTTTATAATTTATAAGTTATGTAATTTGGTTTTGGGAAATTCTGTGTTGTGTTTTTTATTGTGGTCCTATGAGTATTCTGTTCAGATAGATAGATAGATAGATAGATAGATAGATAGATAGATAGATAGATAGATAGACAGACAGACAGACAGACAGACAGACAGACAGACAGACAGACAGACAGACAGACAGAAATAGATAGAAATATAGATGATAGATAGATATAAATATAGATAGATAGATAGATAGATCATATAGTATTAATTTTTCGTAAAATTGTATATCCTTAAGAAATGTAATCTGAATTCCTTTGTTAATTGAAATGGTTAGTCCAAAAATCTAACTTTCCCTGCAGTCTTTTATTATGAAACGTCAGACCGGAAGTGCGGATCTTAGCTTAGCTAGCTTCAGAGAAGCGCTCGAGGTGGAGGCAGTCAGCCTGCGACGGAAAACAAGCGAGGACAGCTCTGGCACTACATCCTCAGTCCGTGTTTTAAAAGAGGAGAATTTAGTTAAAGTGGAGAATAGGTGGATGTGAGTGGGCTCTGCGGGACTTTCACAGGGACTCGGTTACTTATTGTGTGGCTCTCTCTCGGGCTGCGGTGTGTTGAGCGTGTCGCTGTTCGCCCGTTCTCAGTGGACTGTACACTAAGGTAAGCGCCTGCAAACATAAAATGATTTATTTTAAGTTCCTGCTTTGGAACTGGCTACTTTATTCACTCTCCATGCTGTAGTGTGGTCTTCCTTTGAAGAGAGTGGAAAGTGTAGTAAAAGTTGGGACAAAGACGGCAGCCTGCTGGTGTCACTTTCACGCTTTGACGCCTGCTCTTTGTCCACTCAGATGTGGTGGAACCACACATCTAGCTCAAACCTCAACAAACCACCCATTTTCCTCCACATCATCCGGGTTTTTTTCTGCATCTGTTGCTAAAACAACGATCCACGGCTTACTTTTATCCACATAACAATTTCTCCCATGGTTTTTGTTCGGGGGCCACTTCATAAAGGCCTGCGTTTGAAGGGCCACAATCTACCAACATGTCCTGAGAAATCTGTGTGTGGTCAAACATCTGTTGGTTGCTGATAACTTTACACACATTAGTCGTTTATATTCGATTTAAACAGAGGTTTTTCCATTCATTCAATTATAATGCAGCCTGTTTTACACAATGACCCTTTGGAAAACACTGGGACTGGTGTCACATGCCCAATTTATCAATGGTTCTAGTGGTTTTCAATGGGAACTGCACCACACTCCCCTCTGTTTACACATCCAAGCAATCATTTCCAGTGTTGATCTGAACCTGGATTAAAATAATTCCAATCTGAATCTAAACGCCTGACCACACCGGTTGCACATGACTTCTTAATCTCCTTTCCGTTTGACACTGACTGTGTATAGAGAGGCTCTGACTAGGCTGGGTGAACAGATCTGCTTCTGTCTCTGTGCTTTAAACAAATTGAAACAGTTACCTACATTTGACTTGGATAGATTATGAAAAGTTATTTAAAAAATAAATGATAAAACAGCAGGTGCATTCTATAAAGCAAAGCCTCACTTAAGAGTCTGTGCAGCAACTCAAATATTAAAAACATAGTGAGATCTATGTCTAAAGAAAAGAAAAACACAATAATTTATGCTATGAAATGGTTTATATGCTGACAGAGGCAATAAAAGGGGATTCTCGGAGAGAGATCTAGGGATTTTATCAAAGTTTTCTTTCTTTTTTTTCCATAAAAAACCTTTACCTGATCTGTCTGCCCCTTGTTGTTAGTATTTTTTTTTGTTGTGAGGCTGAAAGAGGATCACTATTATACCATATCCGTTTTTTTTTTCAAGGAGATTGTTAAACTGCGCTTTCTGCCCCTCGTTTTTGAGGGTCACTATTTTATCCGTTTTCTGTCCTCCTAAACTCCTATCATGGCTAAAGTATATTTTTTTTATGTTTCAATTATTGTTTTTGCACGAGTCTGTTCCATGCAAGAGAATTACAGCTTAATACTCGTAATATTAGGACTTTATTCTCATAATATTATGACTCTATTCTTGTAATGTTGTGACTTTGTCCTTATAAGTTTACGACTTTATTCTCGTAAATTACAACCCAATTCTTGTAATGTTACACCTTTTATTCTTGTAATTTTATGACTTTATTCTACTTGCCACTTTTTTCAAGTAATTTTATGACTTTATTCTCATAATATTACGACTTTATTCTTAAATTCAAAAGCCCTCTAGCCTGGCCCTCATACTGTCGGAGCTAGGTTATGGAGGACCAATCCTGCCATAATTAGAAATACATGCAGAAATAAAGAAAGGACTTAATAATTACGATTTTCTGTCCGATCGGATGCAAAATCTGATTAGGTGTGTTCTGGCCTTAAGATCATGCGTGTATGTATTGAAAATTAATAGAGTCTTTGAAAATGTGAAATCCAATTTGCATTCAGACGTTGGAAAGGTTGTGATGCAAATAAAATAAATGCCTTATTTGATAATAAAATGTGTATTGCCTAGAGATATTTTCTTTGCTTTAAGTCATTAAAATAAATCAGTTTATGGACTTCTAACAGAATTCCTGTTACAATATTTTTTTTTTTCCCAGTTTGCAAGTTTAAAACCGGTTAAAGACAATGTGTTCCTTTTCGACTTGTGTTATAAGAAAGTTCTGAGTTAAAGTTTAAAAATGAAACGTCATGTTTAATAAAACTGAGAATACTCTGATCAGATAACGGCTCCAATATTGAATAATTAGCCAGATTGGATATCAGATCAATTACATGGATCCTGGGTCTCAATCCAGTCATTTCTATTTTCGATATCATACAGAACAATGCAGTTACACAATTTGGTGACTGAAATTTTATGGTTGTTACTGTGATTACATCAATTTCCAGAGCACATGCTTGTGATGATTTATTTCTGTGGAAATTTGTCACCTTTTTTTTCACCAGGGGTTATGTTGAGTTGATACCTTTTTTTTTTTTTTTTACATAGGGTATGCGTTTAATTCATTCAACTCTGCTCCCTGGGTGCTGCACATAGGCAGCCCACTGCTCCCCAAGGGGGATGGGTTAAATGCAGAGGTAAATTTCTCCAGTGTGAGATCAATAAAGTTAAATTATTATTATTATTAGTCAGCGCATCACTTATTAAACGTTTCAGGTTTTTCGGTTTTTCATTAAAAGTGAAAAGAGTGCAATTAAATTCATTTTGAACCTTTTGTGTTTGCAACAAGGACTTTGATGCGTTCACAAAATCGATTTAATAGCTTCTTTCTTTGTTCGCTAATTTCTAGTCATCGGTAAAAACAATGCTCAAGTTCTACCCCACTAGGTTTATGTTGATTCAACTCAATAACATACAGGATGTAATGAAGGCCACAGTGTTTTTAGGCCATTGTATCACCTCAACTCCAAACATGTTGCTGTGAACGCAGGCTAAAGTTAGCTTCCCACTCCTGATACTGGTTCCTATAGCCAAAACAAGTTTTTAGGGCATTAGTGGCTTTTTTTTCTACAGCAGGTTGACAGGAAAGGGGGTATGAGAGAGGGGAAAGGAATGCGGGAACCACCCATAAGGGGTTGCACCCCTCAGTTTGAGAACCTCAATGAATGGGCCACTGCATCCATATATCGGCCGATACCGATATGTGAAAAAAAAAAAAACGCTAATATTAGCCAAATCAAATTACAAAATCCCACATCTAACAAATTTACAGCTCCTGATTGGGTGTAACTTTACAAGTCAGAATTCTTACACACATTGAACGCATCATAAGGCAAAGGGGTTTTAGAGGCCCAATCCCAAACCAGTCCCTAACCACTAACCCTTCACTATCAAGTGTCACTCCCAGGGAAGTCTCACTCACAGCTGTGGAAAACACCTTGATTGAAGGTGGGGGGGGGATACACGAGAATGGGATGGCTTCTTCCCTCCAACAGAAAAGGAAAGAAGTCGTTGCTATGGCAACACAGTGGCGCCCCGTGTGCGTGGCTGTAGCTCTGTGGCGCAGGTTAACATAGCATAAACATTTGCCTCTTTCTTAAATCAAATGTATACAGTCAAATAAAACTATTTCAAAAAGGACCTTCCATTTTGGAATTTATTACGTTTTTTTTTTATTTTTATAAACCAACTTGTGATTTTCTATCGGTGTGACGAAGATGCAGCAAACCAGCAGAATTTACATTTGGAGGAACGTGTCTCCTCCGCCACCAGGCTGCTGTTACACCTGCTGCCAAATTCCAGCGAGTCTGCAGCTGATGCAGACTTAATTTAATGGCGGAACTGCCCACTGGACCTACCCACTGCGTGGTTTGTGATGGCACTTAATGTGGCAGACCCTCCGCAGTAACGCACAAACGGAGGGTTAGTGCTCAGAGTTAGTGTTTAGGGGCCAGTTTGGGATTAGGCCTGAGTCTGCAATCCTAAAATGGATGGACTATTCTGTAGCTCTATCAACAATCAAATATTTGTAGGGTACAAAAAAGCCTCCAAAAACTGGTTGATGTTATATGCATAGATTCTGAGGAATGTATGTATTGCAGTTATAATTAATTCATTAGCATATTTTCTGAATTGTTATAAAGTCTAACTCCTGGTTTGCATTGTTAATGAAGGGGTTACAGGTGCAAGAGAGCGTTATATTCCTATATTTAGTAAAACTTTCATGGCACACCCATAATGTAGACGCACCCTCTGACTGCTCTGTACTATTATTTACAGATTAAGATAAGGTTTACTTAGCTGTGACTGGTGCGTGAACGGCAACAGCACGTCCTGGACTCTTAGACCTGAATGACAGAAACTGCTGTTACATCACGACAAACCGGGAAACTAAATGCTTAACATTTTAATCATTTCAGAAAGCTGAGTAAAGGTGCAAAGGTTGCAGGTGACGGGGCAATTTGGCTCTAACAGTAAGCGTGGCTTGTTTATTCACTTCCCTAACCCCCAAACCCCCACCTCTTTAAATGTCTCAGGATGCCTCAGAACCTCTTTTTAAAGGCACTTCAGAATATGAATTGTCTTAAAAAATTTTGTATCATTGTATAGGTTTACTACTTTTTTATATATATATTTCTACATTTTTTTAGCTATTTCATTTTGTATTATTTTTAATGACAAATGATTCAGACATCCTACTTTGATTAAACAACTCCCTGATTTCTGGGTGATTCTCTAACATCTTCCACTGTGAAGAGTTTTAAATTTTTTTTATAGATTTGTTTAATAATTTTTGTTTCATAACAACAACAACATAACAACAGAAAAGATAAGATAGGGGGCATACATATTTCCATCATTATAGAGTCCAACTCTAAGCATTTATAAACGCTTGAGACAGGATGGTAGACCTGTCCTTCAGCATAGCCCAGGAAGGGCTTCCATACGCGTCCAAAAGTGTCAGTCTTAAAGTCGAGAGGGAAATATTCCAAAATAAGCGTCTTCCACCCAAAAATAGTAAGAGATTTATTAGAAATCCATTGTAACAAAATATTCTTTCGAGCACAAAAGACTTGTGGTAATGTTATCACTTAACAGCAATCGGTTGATCAGAAAAAGGTTGATCACTTCACAGGTGATTAATGAACAACGAAGCACTTTGATAATGCTTTGTTTGCCATTTTCTCTTTTTCGCATTTTTAT